TTTCAGGTAGGTCTTTTGTTTTTCCGACGATGCCTACCTGTTAATCAAAAAATTAGGTATTTTTATAATGGTTTTCGTAGTTTTTCATTGCTAGAAAGTTGCAAAAATCTTCTAAACTTTTTAAAAATTCGACGATCATGATTTCTCAAACATTTCTGACCAAAAAGTTAAACTTTTATATCTGTTATATGAGCTTTTTATATCTTAAAACTGCGTAAAATCGGATAAAATGGTTTATATTTGGTTATAGGACCTTACAGGACTCCTGGGAAAAACCAGAACCCCCTGCTAACAGCCCAGTACCGAAAATAACCTTCAAAGTTGGAGCAACGTACTCTCTCGAGTAACCCCGGTCGTACTTGAAGCCCTCTAGATATGCACGATAGGCGGCTAGATCGTTCTCATGCTTCGCCGCCGATTCGAGCCTGGAAATCATCTCGGTTCCAAAAAACGTCGAAACACTCACATTTTCCGGATGTTCATCTTCTTATTGCGCCCGTACGCGTAAAAGTGGCCGTCGGGGGAGTCGTTCCATTCCTTACTAAAATTGGAGTAAAGAAAAAGAAAGAAAAGTTCCAACTTAAAGTTAACCCATTTGATGTCGAGCGAAAGACCATGCAGCCTGACCTGTTGACAAGCATTTAAGATCAGAGACTAAATCAGGTGGTTTTTTTAGTTCAAGAAAGTACCAACACTCTGAATCTCGTCTGATCGCCATCGCGTTTCATAAACCGAGATCAATTTTTCGAGAAGATGCTTTATTCGGGCGTCATCTGATGGGAAATAAGATTATTTTCAAAAATGATAGGCCTACCGGTTTTAGCTTCCAAACCAAGAGGCTTGATACGTCGGATATGTACAATAGTCTGTCTGTCGGGGGGCACATTGACAATTGAATGTTCGCGTTGTTCTGGCTCTTCTTCGTTTTTGATCATTTCTCATGGATTGGATGGTTTTCTAAAAAGATAGATAATCGGTGATTGCTTGAGAGGCGAATTAGCAAATGTCGCACGGTTAAATAAACATTACTAATCATAAAAATAGACATCATTAGCTTAAACTATGTAATATTACATAGTACTGAGTCATTGAGGTATCAGAGCATACTTTTTCGATTCGTCGGCTTGTAGAAATGGATCAAAATACATTTTCTTACCCATAGTATGCTCTAATACCCTATTTTACTATTTACAAAATATTATTACAAAGATTAACCGACTGTTTATTATCCTGTAAGGTTTAATTAAGAAAATAGAACCATGCGACATTTTCCAATTGATTTCCAATTTTCCAATTGCTTTTCAGAGCGTATATAAGTGTTGCTAAAGCAGAATTGCGAAAACTTTCGAAAGTAAGACCCTTATCGAGCCTTGGGTAGCTTACATTAAAATCCATAAGCTAGGAAGACGTGGAAATAGCAAATTTGGGGGGTTGAAAGGTACGTACGTTCATTTTTCCCAGGTTCATTTTTGGAAATCCCTAGATGGCCCCAGGTTTAGAGAAAGAGACCGTGGCAGGGGGGAGGGCTTGGGTGGCAAAAGGGGTGGTCGAGGCGGCAACAAGTGGTCCAGAGAGCTATTGGAAGGCGCCAGACGGAAAACAAATGATTTGCAGAAAAACAGAGCAGAGTCTAATTAACTTAATTGTTATAGTTTTAATTTTTAAACTAATTTTTATAAAGTGTTCAGAGGTTTGACGCTACACACCCATGAACATCAGCGTCAGCGTGAATCGGTGTAAACCTAGGGTAAATAGGTACATACGTAGCGTAAATTGGTGTACACAGAGCGTAAATAGGTCTATACGTAGCGTAAATAGGTGTATACGTAATAGCCAGACACGTGCTACGTGAGCGTCTTTTGGGGCCTGTACGTACGTTCATTTTTGGAGTAATTTCTCTGTGCATAGGCGGTCAGGTAGTGATTGGCAGTATCTGAAGAATCCTTAGCCTGGTTAGTAAAAATATAGCGTAGAAAAGGCGCACAAAGCGTCGTAGCAACCTAGAAGAGATCGTTTCGACGTTTTTGCTTAGAAAATTTGCATAAATCCGGCAGCGAACCGCAATTTGCTTGCAATTTAAGGTATTTAAGCTGCGCAAAAAGTATGATGCGCACACTCGGCAAACTCTCTCCTTCTCGCCGGCGACGTCGCGACCATGGGCGGCGCGAAGCCGAAGAAGCCGTCGAAGAATGACAAAAAGGACACGAAAGACTCTAAAGATTCAAAGGTACGCTTTTTTAATAACTAAAAAAATTACGAATTAGAGAAAGACATTCAAATTGTTGGCTAAACTCCAGATAACGGTAAGAGTCTAGAAAACCCCCCCCAGCCGGCACCAACTTTTGTATCTCGGCCCCGCTTTGTGCTAGCGAGCTCAAAAGTATACCAAAATGTTCGCCGTAGGCTAATTAGTAAGACTACATTGAAGTTCAGTCGAAAAAAGTAGCGAAAAATAAAAATAAGGAAGGTAGAAAAGTTGAAAAGTCGGCTGGGGGGGTTTCCTAGACTTGAGCCCAGATAACCCCCCCACCGACCCCCAACCACCGTATCTCGGCTCCCTATTCATCTACAGGTGTGTGAAATATACCAAAATACTCGCCAGAGCAAGACGAACATTTTGGTATACTTGACACACCTGTAGATGAACAGGGAGCCGAGATACAAAAGTTGGGTGCCGGCTGGGGGTTATCTGGAGTCTTACCAAATTGTTTTTTTCTGCGCCCGATAAGTTTCGGAAAATACTTTTTGACTTCGCTGACTGGTTCTAACATTTGTATCTCAGCTGCCCGTTATGCCAACGAGTTGTCAAGTATACCAAAATGTTCGCCTTTGTTTGGCGAGTATTTTGTTATACTTTACATCCCTGTAGCACAACCGGGACCAGTGGTGGAAAAATTTTTGTCCCAAAATGATCACTACGAGATCTCGTTCAAAAAACCTTTCTTTAGTTATAAAAGTTCTATTTGAAGGACAAGAAGAAAAAGAAAGACGAGAAGCCGAAAGACAAGCCCAAGCCGAAGCCGACGCGTAAGGTGCCGTCTACCGCCCAGGCGACGCTGATGCTCCGCACGCAGTGCGTCTCCCCGATGTCGGCCCTCCAAGATAATGCGACCCTCGTCAGCGGTTTTATCGACCGCACGTTGAAGAAAGGGCTGAAGGAATTGCGGGCTGAGTTTATGGCCAACAAACGGTATAGAAGTTTACTGTTTTCTTTGGTATCTATTTTTCAAAATGAACCAGGGTTGAAAAGTCGCTTGGCGACTTTTCAACCCTGGCCCCGTCTTATCCAATGAGAGTTCGCAATTTGCATAATTCTCGCGAACCGCAATGCCAAAAAAATGCAAAATACGCCCTCGGTCTCTTTATATAGGCTTTTCTCACTTCCGGCGCATGCTAATTGATTCCTAACAAAGCGGGTGACCGAAAGTTTTACTAAAAACCTAATTTTAATATCGAAAATAGCACTTTTCCGGCGATTTGACATGTGTGCAGTGGTTCCGAGACCATTACGCATCTAATGACATATAAAACATGCTCTAAACCCCTTTCTCTATCGAGATACTACTGGAACATACTGACGGAAGTCGCATGCAAAGTTACACACACACACATACACTATTTTTTTTATATATAGTAGGATAGAAAAGTGTTTCTAAGCTGGTTTTACTATTCCTAAACTTAAAAACGATCAATTTTTGATTAATACGAAAAGTATCGATTCTTCGACAAAAACGACAGATTTTCTCCTTAAATTTTGTTTCCGCGAAATACCGTTAATTTTTACTAAAAACCCTATGGAAAGCGCCTTTTCAGAACAGTGAGCAGGGATAAGACGACGGTCTTCTTGAAGAACATGCCGAAGAACCGATACAAAGACGTGCCATGCCTTGATGAGTACCGGGTCGTGCTCAGGGACTGCGACAACGACTACATCCATGCAAACTTTGTGGCGACGCCAAAGAGTGATAAGCGTTTCATCTGCTGCCAGGCACCGACTAATGCTACGCAGGTCGATCACTGGAGGTAACTCATAAACCTAATAATAATGGTTATTAGATACTTTAATTAGTCTATTCAATTCTGACAACCTTTTAAAGAATGATCGTGCAAGAACACGTCGAGGCGATTCTCATGCTTTGCAACTACTCGGAGGGCAGAAGGGATAAGTGCGCTCAGTACTTTCCGACTACCCTGGAACCGCAGAAGACGTTCGGGCCCTTCACCATCAAATTGGTCAAATGCGAAAAGGTCAGCGATCAGATCGATTGTTTTTGTAGATTTTAGGTTCTTCGTATCGGATGGGGTTTGACTTTTTCTGTAGTATCCAACTTTTCAAATACAAAGTGTTTCTACACTGATTTTTTTAGTGTTCCTAAGCGTAAGAACTTTATATTTATATAAGGCAACACAAAAACAAATGATTTTTGGACCAAAATGGCCGTTTTTTGGACAAAATATCGACTTTTGAAAATTTTTAGTTAGTTTTCTACTTAAAATATAGTCTTTGTTTTATTAAGAACATGCTCAAGTGCTTTAGTTGATCTGGAACTGCCAAACACCTGCAATCGTCAACATATCAACGCTGGAGGTGGAGCAGGATGGGATCAAGGTGCATGAACTCACCCATTATCACTGGGTTGACTGGCCAGACCGTGGTGTGCCGCCAGTCGACATGTCTCTCATGGAGCTGCTTCAGAAGATCTGCACTTCCACGTCCGTTTTATCTTCCACATAAGCTTATATCGGTTTAAACATCAAAAATTCCCCGTTTAAAAAAGTTCTGAGTTTAAAAAAAAACAAAAAAATTAAATTTTTCGACCAAAATTGGCCGATTGTCGACAAAAATTCAATTGTAAAATAGCCTATTAGAGCTGAATCGAGGAAGCTAATTTCCCCTGTTGAAGCCCCTCCCCGATAACGAACCAGTACCTGACCGTATTCCAGGCAGCCGATCGTGGTCCATTGTTCTGCGGGAATCGGTCGAACCGGGGCCGTGGTGTTGATCCAGAGCTCGCTGGAGACGATCGCCGCCGGGTATGCGGTGCGAGAAATCGAAACCCTGATGAGAGAGCTTCGCAATCATCGCGCCAACTCTGTGCAGACAGTTGAACAGTACCTCTACGTCCACATGTATCTCCTCCATGTTTTCGTGAAGGTAGGCGGCTAAACGGCGGCCCCAAATTACGGTATCTCGGCTTTGCTTTGGGCTGCAGGGGTGTTAGTTCTACCAAAATGATCGGTCGATGAAGACGACGATTTTATTAAGATTAAGACGACGCCCTCTAGCTTAAAAAATTCAATTTTCGAATTTTAAAAATTGAAAAATTACATATTTTTTGAAATTTACACTAAAGAAATTCTGCCCGGAACCAAATTTTTCCAGTGTTTTCCGCCGGTTTTTGATAAAAAAGCGCATAAAAAATTCGGGATTGGTCAAGATGTTTGAGAAAGATCAAAAAAAGGCAGAATTTTCGAATTTTAAACGATTTTTGTGACTTTCTAGCAATCAAACACTACTAAAGACTATAAAAGCATTTTGGAGCTTGTTAAAAGGTGGATATAGGCAAAAAAAAGAAAAATTACGGTTCCTCAGTGTAAGAAATCTTCTGCCAAATTCCTGGGGATTTTTTGCCGCATTAAAACGCTTTTTAGGTAATTTCTCGATCCGGGCGAACATATTCGGCACATTAATAGGACTTATCGGCGAGGATTTCCGGTCATATGTCCTAAATACATATCTCATAATTCCATATCTCCTAAAATCATATCTCCTAAAAGTCATATCTCCTAAAAGTCATATCTCCTAAAGGCATATCTCCTAAAAGTCATATCTCCTAAAAGTCATATCTCCTAAAAGTCATATCTCCTAAAGGCATATCTCCTAAAAGTCATATCTCCTAAAAGTCATTTCTCCTAAAAGTCATTTCTCCTAAAAGTCATATCTCCTAAAAGTCATTTCTCCTAAAAGTCATTTCTCCTAATAACCTTACTTCTTTTTTTTGTTGAGATCTGATATGATATATTTTCGCTTTCCACAGGGGCAAAACTTTTGCTTAATTTACAGCTAGCTAGCGTTTGATCCGATGTTTTTCAGTATTATCCGACCATCTCAGAATGTTCAAATCGGGTTTTTCGAAGCCAGCGGGCGGTTTTGTACATTCTGTTCCGAAAAAAATTACAAAAATTTTTTGCTTGTATCTGCTTCTATCCTGAGGTAAGGTTTTTAGGAGAAATGACTTTTAGGAGATATGACTTTTAGGAGATATGACTTTTAGGAGATATGACTTTTAGGAGATATGGAATTAGGAGATATGGAATTAGGAGATATGTAGTTAGGAGATATGGAAATCACCCATCGGCGAGTAGCTAAGCAGCTGCGACTCCCTTTTTCAGGAGGGATGGGTCCCTGACGAGAAGGTGGTTGCCGAGATCAAAGGCAAATTCACTACGGATTACGAAAAAGCTGCCGCGGCTGCGTTGCAGAAGCTCAACGAGAAGCCAGCTGGATGTAGATCCCTATTTTACGCCATATATCCCGTATGTTTCAGCTGCCGAAAAGATGTGATGTGCCACACCGCCCTGCCGCCCGCCTTCTACTTGGCCACCTTACTACTTGTGCCCCCCGAAAACCTCTTAAGCTTTTTCTTTGATGTGAATATTTCGTTGTATTACATCGTCTTTAATTGTCTTC